CTTCTAGGATTAAGAAGGCTTAATTAGGATAGGTGAGTTTTGACAGAGGACTGTAAGTGCGACGCTGATATCCGAAGACGTATTGGGATGGCCAAAGACGCATTCCAAGAGCTAGGAAGAATATTACAAGACAGGAGGATTTCTTTGGTAACAAAGAAAAGAGTACTGAACTGCTACGTGACATCTGTCCTCCTTTACGACAGCGAATGTTGGATGGTCTCCTTAAAGATGAAGAAGAGACTCGAGGCAACAGAGGTATGGGTCTACAAAAGGATGCTAAGGATATCATGAACCGAGCGTGTGAGCAACGATGAAGTCTTGGAAGGATGCACACAAGGAAGAAGCTTATACTTAACACCAGGAAGACGCATCTGAAATTTCTAGGACACGTAATGAGAAATGAGGGCTTGGAGAATCTGATACTCACGAGTCGAATAGAGGGCAATAGAGACAAAGGAAAACAACGCATGACATACCTAGCGAGCTTATCAAGTGGATAACAGAACATGGCCCGGGAAAAGTAGCAAAGGGACAAAACTTATTGAGAGCTACAAAGGATAGGAAGAAGTGGAGAGCCATGATCGCCTACGTCCTGAAGGGACACGGCACATAGAAAGAAAAAAACACTTTGTCGAATAACAATCGATATAAATAAAAGTTAGGTGTATTTAAAAATCTGTTTTGCAATGTTTCCATGAGCAAATTTACATAGTTCACTTTTTTTATCAAAGAATATAGATAAACCTTTTTTTTCCACCAGACTTCGTTAAAAGAAAGTTAAATTTTATTAAGGAATGTTTTTCACGTTTTTTTCAGTCGAAAGAAAAAAAGTGTCTGTCAAATACTGATTCTATTTTAATGTGTATGACGTCAAACGAAGAGTATTTAAAATCACCTCTTCTGATTAATGAAGCAAGAAATCTTAAAGTAGACGAAAACAAAAAGGAAAGAAAAAACATTATGTCTTTGACATTCATGTTCCTTCAAAATGGATTTTTTTTCATTTTCTTTTGTAGAGTTTGTGGTCTCTACACAACCCCCCACAAATGCACTAATAGTCATTTTAAGCTATTCTGAGGCATATATAAAATTAATACTGCACAAAAAAAGTTTTTAAAAAAAAGCCTTTCAGAATAACCATGCGAATCAACCATTTATATACAAAACTTAATACAATTTTAGTGTTACACACCACGAAATGGACAAAGTCCGACAATTATTTAATGTATTTTATTGTTATACGTTATTTATATAGACACAAATATTTAAGTAAATGCTTTGTTTTTAATAAACAGTATTAAAATATCTAACGGCTAAACGCCTGAGAAATTTCTAGAAATCATGCACCCTCCGACAGGAATTGAACCTGTGTCCTACACGAAACACGCCATAGCAGACTGATGTGCTATACCAGTTTAGCCACGAAGGAGAATCTAGTTTGTTGGGTCGATTTTACTGCTTTTAAACTACAAACTTCCCATGATTGCAAACCGGTAAATGTTGTTAATACTGTTTATTATAAACAGAGCATTTACTTAAATATTTGTGTATATATAAATAATGTATAACAATAAAATATATTAAAATAATTGTTGGGCTTTGTCCATTTCGCAGTATGTGACGTCATTTGTTTACGTTAAGATACGCGACGAGTGGATATAGACGTTCGAGGGAAATCATGAAATATTGTTGTTTAAAAGCAGTAAAATCGACCTTGCTAACCAGACGATCCTTTGTAGCTAAACTGGTATAGCACGTAAGGCTATATGAAGGTTCCGTGTAGAATACAGGTTCGATTTCTGTCAGAGGACTCATATTTTCCAGAAAATTTCTCGGACGTTCAGGCCAGTTAATATTGTTTATTATAAACATAGTAATTACTTAAATATTTGTGTATATATAAATAATGTATAACAAGAAAATATATTAAAATTTTAGTGTTGCAATCAGTAAAAAGACGCCTACTCAACACCCGGTTTAACTAAGGCGCCCTTTCTAGTGGTTAAGTTAGATAGAAAACATTAAGCTTGGAGAATATTATTAATACGTAGAAAAGATACTCGTATTTTCAATTGAATTATTTTTTATTAGGATATGTGAGTGGTGGAACGGCGACCTGAGCAGAAAGTGTAAAGGGACAAAAGGAACGACACTTATTGAGACCTGCGCGGGATAGAAGGGAGTGGAGAGCCATAACCGCTTACGTCCTGGAGGGACACGGCACATAAAAAGAAAAAAAAGTGGAACGGTTATTTGAGCGGAACGTGGAATTGATGAGTCGAGTTCAAATACCAAACTAATCTGTGGAGGTCATCGTCCCACAAATACCCTTGGGAACGGTACGAAGTCATCTCTTTTCCTCCAGCTATAGGTTAAATAGCAAAGTAGGCTAGACCGAACCCTTTATTTCGTTCACCGGGATAGATTGTTCCAGTTCCACGTTCCATGCCTCTTCTGGATGTCTCAGTTGTTTCCCTCTAACTCAATTCTCCAAGTTTTTTTTGGTTCACCACTACTGTAGCCTGGTATTGAACTCGCAACTTGAGTCACTGGATCTAACCACTGTCTTTATCCACTGGGCCAATCACCCGAAGAAGGTTGGGGCGTACAATGGCCGAGACGTTGGGAATATGGCAATGAAGATGAGGATAACAGTCCGAATAATGTAAATAAAGCAAGTAATTATAATACCTCATCTCAGAGATATAGAGGCCGATACGTTGAGAATATGGCAATGAAGATGAGGATAAAAGTTCGAATAATGTAAATAATGTAAGTATTCATAATACCTCATCTCAGAGATATAGAGGCCGAAACGTTGTGAATATTGCAATGAATATAACAGTTCGAATAATGTAAATAATGCAAGTAATCGTAATAACTCATTTCAGAGATATAGAGGCCGAAACGTTGTGAATATTGCAATGACGATGAGGATAACAGTTCGAATAATGTAAATAATGCAAGTAATCATAATACCTCATCTCAGAGATATAGAGGCCGAAACTTTGTAAATACGGCAATGAAGATGAGGATAACAGGCCGAATAATGAAAATGATATAAATAATCATATTAACTTAAGTCTTATATTCTACTTGATTCATATCAAGTGCTTCATTTCGTAACCCTAAACTTTTGTCGAGTAGCTTGTATTAGATGAATTCTATTAAAAACTTTTTTTAACATTCTTTTGTTCTGGTTATAAGAAAAGAGTTAGAATAATTCGAAAACATTATTCAACAAATGCATATATTTGTGTTTCAATACAGTTATACTCCATATGCATTTGTATGTATATTTAATATTATATAATTACCTACAGAGAAAGAAAGATAAGAATTTATATACATAGATATGTATAAGTTTTTTTTTTTTTTCAGAAATAATGTGTATACGCGTACAAAGTACGTTTTTATTAATCTTTGTCTAAATATGAGTGTGTACGCACTCGCCTCTGTCTGCGTGTGTGCGTCGATATAACAATGTTTTATCATTTGCAAGAAACAGAAGTTCGACACTCGGAGTGTGGCTACCCACAGTTCCAGGCGGAGCGGCGGGCGGGCGGGCGGTTGAGGGTGTCGAGGAATAAGTGCGTCTATCGAAAATAGCCGCACTTGTTGTCCCCTCTCAGCTTACAGTAAAATACACTTTCAAAGTGGCACGTCGTCCTTTATGGCTGAACGTAGGTTAAAGATGAGGCGAGTGGTGGTGGTGGTAGTGGTGGTGGGCCCGGGCCGAAGCGGGGGGGTAACAAGCCACACAGACGAGGAAATTGATCCGCTTGCAACGACACAACGAAAATACAAATCTGAATCGAAAATAAACGCAGGTACTTTAATTACTTTTTAAGCCTGTCCCAACTTTCTAAAAGTAGGGAAGAGAGAAAGAAAAGAAAAAGATGTCATTTATCTCCGTGCTTAGTATCTTCTCTTCTCTTCTCCTCTCTCTCTTCTCTTTTCTCTCTCCTCCTCTTGCTCTTTGTGAGCGCGCGGCTGTGTGCGTGTGCGTGTGTGCGTATGTGTGTGTGTGTTTTAATCCCAACCCGATTTGGAAAATATTATAAATTGTTGCTATTTGTTGTGTTTCATGTGATTTGTTGCAAAGAAATGTAAATAATATACTGGTCCTCCGATCTTTTAAATGTTCAACATTAAATCTGAACATCTCACGAGATTACGGAAGGAGATCTCGTGTTTAGTCTGAGGCTAGCCTGGAGATATTCCTTACAGAAAATCACATAAGAATTCATTAAAATTCGCGCAAAGGTCCCATTCCATGCTTGTCGTAAGTTTAGAATTCGCCTTATACAAACAGTAATGTGCGCATTATGCTTTAGGGGATTGGGTTGCTTCTTACTTGGGTCTTTGTGTACACGTATGTATGTATGTATATACGTATGTATGCATGTGTATGTATATATGTATATACGTATGTGTGCATGTGTATGTATATATGAATATACGTATGTATGCATATGTATGTATATATTAGTATATACGTATGTATGCATGTGTATGTATATATGTATATACGTATGTATGCATGTGTATGTATATATGTATATACGTATGTGTGCATGTGTATGTATATATATGTATATACGTATGTATGCGTGTGTATGTATATATGTATATACGTATGTGTGCATGTGTATGTATATATATGTGTATACGTATGTATGCATGTGTATGTATATATGTATATACATATGTATGCGTGTGTATGTATATATGTATATACGTGTGTATGCATGTGTATGTGCGTGTGTGTTTTTGAGTGACGCGATGTACGATTGTGTCGCAAAAGAAACACTAAAATAATGAAAAAGTTCCATCGCATTCACATTAATAAAAGTCGGTCTTTCTGTCTGTTTATCTCTCTGTCGCATTCCTATTCATAAAGCTCTGTCTGTCTGTCTGCCTCTCTCGCTCTCTCTTTCGCATTCCCATTGATAATGGTCTCTTTCTCTCACACTCTCTCTTGCATTCCCATTGATAAGGGTCTATCCGTCTCTTCTCCCCCCTCCCTTTCTCTCTCTCTCAAAGATTCCCAATGATAATGCTCTGTCTGTCTGTCTGTGTGTCTGTCTCTCTCTCTCTCTCTCTCTCTATCTATCTCTTGCATTCTCATTGATAAAGATCTGTCTGTCTTTCCTCCTCCTCTCTCTCTTTCCCTCTCGCATTCCCCGTCATAAAGGTCCATATGTCTGTCTGTCTCTCTCACACTCGCATTCCCATTGATAAAGATATGTCTGTCTGTCTGTCTCTTCTACCTCTCTCTCTATCTCTCTCTCTCTCTCTCTCTCTCAATTTCTTGCAAGATTGATAAAGGTCTGTATGTCTGACTCTTCTTCCCTCTCTCTCTCTCTCTCCCTCCCTCCCTTCCTCCCTCGGATTCCTAGTGATAAAGTACTGTCTGTCTGTCTATACCTCTTTCGCATTACCATTGATAAAAGTCGGCGTGTCTGTTTGCCTGTCTCCCTCTCTCTCTCTCTCTCTCTCCCTCCCTCCCATTCCCATTGTTAAAGGTGTGTCTGTCTATCTCTCCCGCGCATTCCCATTGATGAAGGTTTGCCTGTCTGTCTGTTAGTCTGTCAGTTTGTCTCTCTCTCACTTGCATTGCCATTGATAAAGGTCTGCCTCTCTGTTTATCTCTCTCTCGCATTTCCATTGATAAAGTTCTGTCTGTCTGTCTCTCTTTCTCTCTCTCTTTCGCTTTCTCTCTTGCATTCCCACTAATAAATGTCTGTCTATCTTTCTCTTTCTCTCCCATGCTCCCTAATTTTGCATTCTCATTTATAAAGGTCCCTCACTCTGTCTCTCTGTCTGTCTGTCTCTACTCCCTCTCTCCCTCTCTCTCTCGTGCGTTCCCATTGATAAAGGTCTGTCTGTCTGTCTGTCTATCTTTCTCTCGCATTCCCATTGATAAATGTCTGTCTCTTTCCCTCTCTTTCACATTCCCATTGGTAAAGTTCTGTCTGTCTGTCTCTCTCTCTCTCTCACCCTCTTGCATTCGCACTGATAAATGTCTGTCTGTCTGTCTGTCCCTCTCTCTCTCTCTCTCTCTCTCGCCCTCTTGCATTCCAATTAATAAATGTCTGTCTGTCTTTCTCTTTCTCTCTCACACTCCCTCTTTTGCATTCCCATTGATAAAGGTCTGTCTGTCTGTCTATCTATCTATCTCTTGCATTGCCATTGTTAAGGGTCTGTGTGTATGTTTATTTCTCCCTCTGTCTCCACTCTCTCTCTCGCTCTCTCGCTCGCTCGTTAAGAATCCCCCCCCCGTTTAAGAGTCAGACGAAGACATTCTTTCTCGCATATCTTCTCAATCAATATATTTGTGTACTTGTAAAATCTACAAAACTAATACACTACAGATTTCTAAAAAAAAAAAAAAAGAAAAGAAAATTGAAGTAAATATCGATTTAATATGAATGTATTTCCTTTTAGTGTTGAAGACGGGTTTTTCTAAGAATAAAACATTATAAATGGAATCATAAATAATTTTGCTAGATAGCTTCGACGTCTGGCAGACTGTGTCACGTGTGAAAGAAGGTTACTTCGTGCCCCGAGATGGGAAATAAAGAAGGATGAAAAATTAGCTTTGTTGCCAGTGTTGATGAAAAACACAATGATTAATTGTTGACGGATTTCCTGAAAATCAAACGAATTAGTGAAAATATATCTGCTCAAATAAATGTATTATTGCACAATAACATAAAGCAAATATTAGATAGATAGATAGATAGATAGATAGATAGATAGATAGATAGATAGATAGATAGGGGTGGAATGAGATACATAGAAAGATAGAGAGAGGGGCTATGGAATGAGATAGATAGATAGATAGATAGATAGATAGATAGATAGATAGATAGATAGATAGATAGATAGATGATAGAGGGCTCTAAATGAGATAGGTAGAGAGATAGAGAGAGGGGGTATGGAATGAGATAGATAGATAGATAGATAGATAGATAGATAGATAGATAGATAGATAGATAGATAGATAGATAGGGCTGGAATGAAATAGATAGAGAGATAAAGAGAGGGGGTATGGAATGAGATAGATAGATAGATAGATAGATAGATAGATAGATAGATAGATAGATAGATAAAAAAGTGAATAATGAAAAATAAAGGAATGAACGGAGGAAACACTGTCAAAACTCAGGAAAAACGAAAAAGAAGTGATACTTAGTTTGGCACAAGGCCAACAAAATGTTAGAAAGTCAAGAAAGCTAAAAAAAAAAAAATAATCACTGGTTAGTATGGATATCTTTTATTTAGTTTACCGCGTATCCTCGATGCAAAAAGACAACGGTTGAATGGTCCGAAAAGTTTAAGGTTGTTGGTGAGGGAGGTGCTGTTCAATCGCTGGAAATTCAATTGGCATGACAAGTTTTAATTCGTAGTCTGAATCTTTCTACATTTGATTTCTTTGTGTGTGTGTGTGTGCGCGCGTGTCCGCGCCCGTGCGTGTCTGTGTGTATATATGCGTGTGTGTGTGATTTTTGTTTTGTTCTGGGCCCGTCTAAGTGAGCGTCTCTTTTTCCTGTCATACGCCCATCTGAGAAATGTTAGACGTTTCAGTTTCGTCTTCTACAATAAACGATATGTCGCGTTTGAGTCTCGCACGGTTTGTGAGGACCCGTTGCTCACACGAAAAGGAACAGAAACTGAATTGTTTCAAAGTCGACATTTCAACGTTTTCTTTATAATGTTAAAAAAAATATCAAATAAAACACCAAAAAGACATATCAACATGACTTTTCTGGGATCTATCTCTATCTATCTATCTATCTATCTATCTATCTATCTATCTATCTATCTATCTATCCCAGTCTGTTCTTACCTGCTCTTATCTATCTATCTATCTATCTATCTATCTATCTATCTATCTACATACATATACAGTGTAACCCGGATGTAAGGGAGTTGTCGGGACCGGAGAAGAAGTCTCTTATATCCGGGTTTCTCTTATATCCGGGTTGAGTTTAATTTATATACATTAACACAGGACCGGAGAAAATCTCTCTTATATCCGGGTTTCTCTTATATCCGGGTCTCTTATATCAGGTACATACACACACACTTGCACGAATATTTATTTATATATATATATATATATATATATATATATATAATTTTGGATTTGATCTCGTTTTCAATTTGACGATGACCAAATCGTCAACGAAATATATAAGTTTCGATCAACATGTCTTTTATTTTTATTTTCATATCCATATTTTTCACTATCATCTATATATGCAGGTATGGATTTCTCCCTTTCTCTATCTACATCTCTCTCTCTCTCTCTCTCTCTCTCTCTCTCTCTCTCTCTATATATATATATATATATATGTATATATATTTGATCTCGTTTTCAATTTGACGATGACCAAATCGTCAACGAAATATATATATGTTAGCTCTATCTCTGATATTGAGCGCTTTCTAATAAGAACCGCGCATATAATATATATATATATATATATATATATATATTTATATTTATATTTACATACTTTTCACACACACACATACACACACACACACACACACACACACACACATATATATATATATATATATATATATATATATATATAATGAACATTGACGTCAACATTCAGAGGCTCTAGTGTTGACTTCAGTGTTCACTTTTACATATATATATATATATATGTGTGTGTGTGTGTGTGTGTATAGGCCGCCCGACGTTTGCGTCTAGCATGAAACAGCCTGTCGCCTCTGAGTATTGACTTCAATGTTCACTTTTATATTTACATACGCTCTATCTCTGATATTCAGCACTTTGTCCCATAAACATAGCGCACCTTCAGACGACATTTGCTCCTATATATATATATATATATATATATATATAGAGAGAGAGAGAGAGAGAGAGAGAGAGAGACAGAGAGAGACACAGAGAGACACAGAGAGAGAGAGAGACACTGAGAGAGTGTATGTGTGTGAGAAAGAAGGCAAGTTCCCTCTCTATTAATTTTCTTTATATTTATCTATCTGGATTTACCGATTAATTCAAGTTTTCGTGTTTGTTGTTTTTTTTATTTGTGTGTGTGTGTGTGTGTGCACGCGTGTGTGTGTGCACGTGTGTGTGTGTGCGCGTGTGTGTGTGTGTGTGCACGCGTGTAACAATGCAACCACCAATATTGAACATCGCGCCCAAACGGAAAGTTCCAAGGGTCCGTTTTGGCGGGAATGGGTAGCCGTAACATCTCATGAAATAACATAGGCTATAAAATATTAACCTCAGATGTTATTCGAGATCACCAGAAGCCATCCAATTGCAATTTATATCAAAATGAAGTCAACATATTGCGTTTTGCTATGAACTATAAAATAAGCTGACCTCTTCAACTCTCGGAAAGGAACGTTCCAATATTTGTCTTTCGAAGTCATTGCATGTAAAATTACTTTATACCCTTTATAATCTGAATTAAATTCTTGGAGGCAAATTTATACATGGAGATAACTTGAGCTGAAAAAAGTCGATAAGTGGTGATGATCTCCAGTGTCATTGGAGGTCACTGAAGGTCAACAGAATTTAATTTTAAATTTTCTTTTCTTCTTCGTATAACGTTGTGCAACGCTGTAAACGCCACCAGGCAAATATAATTGCTGTAAGTGTAAAGCACGGCCTAAAACAACAGGAACAAGCAGAAGCGATATGAGCAAAACATTCCAATTCCAAATAATCAAAGAAATAAACTCGAAATTGTTACAACAGATTCTTGAAAAGATCCAATTGCGCAAGTCAGTTGCCACGACTCCAGATATTTTGGAGGCTGTTCAAAACTTAATGGAGTTCCTGAACTAATTTGAGCTGTCTGGAGTTCGGCCCCATAAAACTAAATATATTCGAACTCCTATCATGCTTCTAAAAAATCTTCACACCCTAGGGTTTCACTCAGCTCACCAACTATACCACATGTCACTGAGACAATTATCTTAACTAGGGTAGACATGTGTT